TCTTTCTTTCTTTCTTTCTTTCTTTCTTTCTTTCTTTCTTTCTTTCTCTCTTTCCTTTCTCTCTTTCTCTCTTTCTTTCTTTCTTTCTCTCTTTCTTTCTCTCTTTCTTTCTTTCTTTCTTTCTCTCCTCTCTTTCTTTCTTTCTTTCTCTCCTCTCTGTCTCTCTCTCTCTGATAAATACCTCATGTTCTTGTTATGATTCTTCTCCCCTCCTTTTTCTTTCCTGATTTGGTTTATCTGCATCCCACAAATGTCTTTCCTTATCCATGAGTGTATTTGCCCTTTCTTCCTTCTCTCATTTTCTCCCTGCACTCTCTTCCTCTATACTCTGACAGTGTTTGTGGAGGGAAAGGGTCTGAATGCTGGAGAACTGGTTCATATTGTATTGCAGAAGAAAGGCTGACTGATGAATTGTGCAGGAGTTGCCAGGTCATTGTGTCGCCAATAAACTGACTCTTGGCTCAGTTGAGGAACATTCCAGGCGGCGTACACAAAGACACTCCTCCAATATTCAGCTCTTTGTTTATAATTTATTTCTTTATTACTTAATCTCCACTGTCCAAAACCAGTTTCAGACCTACTGAAGCAGCTGTGAGTAGCCTCTGGGAGATTGTTGTTGACCTTTTCTTTAGCACATTGTGATGTCATGCAAATTGCTGCTGGGCTCCACTTAATATGGAGAGCTAGCAGATGTAATAGTGTGTTATATTGTATTATTCCATTGCCATTGCATTTGTCTTGCACTTTTTTTTTGTATTACTCATTGTGGGCCTACGGTGTATAAACTTTGTCTATGTTCAAGGTTTTTATGTCCTCTTGCAATATCCAGAATTCTGTTCTGCTTTAGGACACATTCTGCATTTAATCCAGAGAATCCTAAATACAAGTGACATTGCTGAGAAGTACTGCTTTATATACTCTTTCATCTGCCTACCACCGGTCCTACTCTGCTCTCTTTCACTTGAGTCTGCAAAATAAAGTCGAAATTAATTAATTGGAAAAATATCCATGGAAATGATAAAATAACTATAAATATTTTCCTTGTGCTACTAAATGTGATAAATATCCGTATTCTTTATGAAATGTAAATAAATTAGTAATTCAGGTTGGAAACAGAAGTGCATGAGTTTACAGATTATGAACAATAATATGGAACACATTTGTTTGAAACATTCAAGTATGTTGTAAAATCACTTCAAAATTATTTCAAGCGACTAATACTTGCACTAATACAATGCCACAGAATTAGCTGCATCCCTAGTCAAGTTGTTCTAAAGTAGCTACAACACTGGCATCCACTTGACAGTGTGGAAAATTGCCTAGGTATACAAAAGCAGGACAAATCCAACCTAGCCAATTGTTGCCATCTCAACCTTAGCAGACTGGTGAAAGGGATCATTGACAGTGCTATCCAGTGGCACTTACTTAGCAATAACCTGGTCACTGATTCTCAGTTTGGGTTCTGCCAGAGCCAATCAACTCCTGGCCTCTTTACAGCCTAGGTCCCATTGATAAAAAGCTGAATTCCAGATGTAATGAGACAGAGACTGCGTTTGACATCAAGACAACCTTTGCCGAAGTGGGGTATCAAGGGATCTAACAATTGGAGTTAGTGGAAATTGTGGGCAACTCTCCACTGCTTGGAGTCAAATGCACCACAAAGGGGGATGATTGTAGTTGGCAAATCATCTGGGCTCAACATGGCTGCAAGTGTGCCTCAGGGTAGTGTCTTCAGCCCAACCATTTTCAGTTGCTTCATCAATGACCTTTCCATTATAAGATCAGAAATGAGAACGTTTGCCCATGATATGTACAATGTTCGGTGCGATTTGTGACTCCTTAGATACTAAAGCAGCTCATATATGCAGCAAGACACGGACAATATCCAAGCTTGGGTTAAAAAGTGATGTGTAACATTTCTGCTGCAAGTGCCTGGCAGTGACCAATTCCAACCAGAAAGGGGCTAAAAACACTGGATCTAAATCCTGAAACTGTCTTCCAAACAGCACTTTTGGATGTACTACACTCGGTAGATAAAGAAGGCAGCTCACCAGTGCCCTCTCCAGGCCAGTTAGTGATGGGTAATAAGTGCTGGCCCAGCCAGTAATGCCCACACCCTGTGAAAGATCTACTTTCTAAAATTCTCTCTCAAACTACACTGCTGCTCGTGCTTTTGATGACTTGCCATGCACATAGGTGTGGTCATGTGTGCTGGCATGTGAGTGGTGGGGATGAGGATTCCAGCTGATTCTCATGTATGCTCTTGGCTGCAGTGTTGCCTGTCTCCTCACTTGGAGGTTAGGCCAACTTGGGGTCCTTTCGGACTCTTGCAAACAGCAATGGTCCACAGATCACGCTTTGAGAATTGCTGCTGTCGACCAGGCTTTGGGCTATTGCATTTTTCAAGGATTAGTTTGGGCAATATGAGAGTTATTTGAAAATGTAACTACTAGGATTAATGTACTCACTTGGGACCTTTTTGTTTGCTTATTGGCACACACCACCTCCAATTAAGGGTTGAATTTTCTTCATGCATTTAATTACACCTTCCCTGAAGACAGTCCATTTCAAGAGGACCCAACACCCTCATGACACACATGTTATTATAATGCTGGAGCACCTAATATGCACAGCAGCTGATTTGGAAAACCTGTTGATACAGTAAAGCCAATTCCATTCAGCGGTCATGGAGAGACTGTGGGATAACAGGTTGTTGGAGCCTGTTGAAGTAGTTAGGTTTTTGGGGGGTTAGTGGCAGTCATAGGGTCACCAATCTTGGAAATATATATCAGTGTGGCTAGGTCAAAGTCCTATAACTCCCTTGCTAATCGCAATTTGCATCTACCTCGACCGATGGACTGCAGTAGTTCATCAAAGAAGCTTGTCAGCACCTCTTAAGGACAACTAGGGACAGGCATTAAATGATTGTCCAGCCAACAACAACTGCATCTAATGAGTGAAATGAAAAAAAAATTCTGCTTTCGTTCATTTATTTCTTTTGCAAACAACAAAATTCCATGTCCTGATCTTTTGTCAGTGGGTATCCAAATGAAATTCGTTTACAATTGTGACTAGAATGGACCAGGTGTTTTAAAAGCGCTAACTAATCCTGGAAATGAAGAATAGCAGCAAATCACTGACGAGGACAAGCTGACCAAACACACTCTTAAAATCTGGAAAGAAGTCTGGGGGCTCCGTGGTGACTTTGAAAAGTGGACCTTGCTAAGGTGAGATGGCCCTGACTTAATCTGCAAATGACAGTCTTGTGGAGAATGAACTTTTAACACCGTAAACATCTTTAAAGTGCTGTGTGTGCACAAAAGAAATGAAGATGAGTGATCTGCATGAGATGTGAAGTTACAGGGGACAGCATTCATAAATGCAAGAATCACTGCACCGACTGAAATATCAGGAAGAGGCAGTGAGAGAATGACATGCAAATGACATGATCCATAATGGCTAGAGAACTGTATTGCAAGGATACACTTTCATGACTTTTAATCATTTGGCCTTAAAGTACATCATTTCTGTGTTTCAAGACTTGAACAGAACAAAAACCAAGAATTGGAATAGACTCTTCTCCTCCGAAGTGGTGGTTAAGAGTAGATTTGATAGATGGGCTCCAAATCATGAGGGATTTGGACAGAGTCAATAGGGAGAAGCTTCCTTTCGACAGAAGGATAGACAACCAGAGGACAGTGATTTGAGGTGGACAACAGAACCTAATGTGGCGATGTGAAGAAGCATTTTTCTTTATGCAGCAAATGGTTAGGATCTGGAAAAGGCTGCCTGTGAATGGGTTTCAAAAGGGAACTAGATACTCATCTGAAGAGGAAAAATATTGCAGAGCCATAACGAAAGATGGGAGCTGCTGAGTTGCTATTACAGAGTACTGGCATGGATATGATGGGCTGAATGGTCTCCCTTTCTTTGTCATAACCATTATGCAATTTGCTTTTTTTTTGGACACTGTCAAAGATCCATGCCCTGAAAAGGTTAAAGGCCCACCTGGTATACGACACATGAGTAATCGATTCTATGATTTGCAACTCCTTCCATGTGTCCTTACACTCTGTGTATACACAGAACTTAATTTGCCTAAAAACACAGTTCCCAAAGACAACATTGTCTGTGTACTCATTATACCCTGTCTTCTGTCTTCACAGAGTGAAGAGAGCCCAGTGACCTTCAGTGCATACCACAGAAGAGTGGTAGTTGAAAGCACCAAACATCATTACATACATTACCCCAATCTTGCATCGATAAGCATCATCCCTGATACAGGCATTTATCCAGACACATGTAACAATGGAAACGAAGAGCAATTTCAAACTCTCAGTACTGGTATGGACAAACTTTAGCTTGTAGAAGGACAGAGGTCCCCAATACTTCTCTACCTCCATCTTGTGTTGCTGGCGTCTGTTTCCGTGGAACTTTTTTTTTAAACACAATAACCTTGAGGGCCTTTTAGATCTTTTTCTTGTTGAAAACTGAACTCAAATTCTGTAACTGCCATGATCAAATTTGAATATGTGCTCTCTGGATTCCTTATTTACTGACATAACCAGTCCGATCCTGACCAGTTAATTATTAAGTCTCTTCTGCATCTATCTATTTTAATTTGGGGACATTACAGCCTGCGGTGACTTTTGCACAGCATTGCCTCATCTGATTTTCAATCCTGATGTTCTTTGTTTCAGCCAGTTTTGAAGTCATTATCCACAGCATATTTCTTGACTCTTTCATGGGATGTGGGTCTTGCTGACAGGCAAATGTTTGTTGCCCATCCCTAATTTCCCCTGAACTAAGTGGCTTGCTTCACATTTTCAGAGGGTAGTTTAAAAGGTGACCATATTGCTTTGTTTTGTGTCTGGAGTCGCACATAGGTCAGACTTGAAGAAGATGGCAGATTTCCCTTCCTGAAGGACGAGTGAACCAGCTAGGTTTTTGTGACAATTGCCAATCACTTCATGATCATCATCACTTAGAAAGTGCAAAAAAAGCAAGTCTATTAATTTAAAATAAGTTCCACCAGCTGCCATGGTGGGAATGAACCCATATCCCCACTAGTTCAGTCCATTAGTTTTCCCAATGGCATATTCCACCACACATTGCCTTTTAATTCCCCTGCACACTGAACACCTGAAGTATCTGAAGCACAGCTTTATAACTTGCATTTATCATGGCACATTGTGATGGATTTTCTGATGAGCAGCAATTGCAATCTGATTGCCACTCTGCTCTTAATGGCAAACAGTAAAATAAAGTTCTGCTTTTTTAGCAGGAAATTCTGATCATTGACCCCTTTTGGAAATATGGACTGTGCTTTAAATTTAATGTGTTCCTTGTAGTGCAGGATGGTTGAATTGAATTATACTCCCTTTTTCATTGCAGGAGTTGCCATATTTTGTGCTTTTAAAGGTCCAGCAGCACAGACTATCATTTTGACAGCTGCTGTGAAAGGGCATGTGAGCCAAGTGTGAGGCTCGGGTACCTGGCAGGTATGGAGCCACAGTGAAAAGTGGGAAGGGTGCCAGGTGGAGTGGTTGGTGGGGGGGTGGTGTCAGGATTAGGCAGGGTGTGACAGCTTTGGTGGGTTAGCGATGGGGGTAGGCACAGTTGTGGGTTATGTCCAGTGAATGGGGTGCCACCTTTGACAAGGGAGAGGGTGTGGTTCAGGTTTGGTAAATGGGAGAGGGCTGTGTATGGTTGAGCAAGGTTGGGAGGGGAAGGCAGTTTGCTCCGACTGGTAGTGAGGGAAGGGGCATATGTCAGTTCCTGGAGGGGAAATGGAATATTGTAGGGTCCAGTTGGAGATGGAGGCAATGGGGTCCCTGGAGGAAGAGGAGGAGAGGGGTTGTTGGGTCAGGGTCTGGGGTACATATGGTACTTTACCCAGGAATAAGACTAGGCTTTCAATCATCTAACTTTGCAGGACAACTATCAACTGCAGCGGAATCCTCCAGTTTCTCAGATTTAATTGGATATATTCAGGGGGTTCAGGCATAAAGGAGTTACCCAGCAGAATCTTCAATTTCCATTCTGCTACATCAGGAATTCCTCAGGGTACCGATGTGCAACTCCCATCTCTGCTGCAGAAACGACAGTCTGCCTGGCTATCAGACAATCTGGACCACTTTATCATGACCTCCGATCTTACCACTAATGGATTTCTTTTAAATTGCAGTCAGTATTGTTACATAGGCAAATGTTTGCCCAATGTTCATTTGCATTTCTTGTATCCAATATCTACTCGTGTTCGAGGAACTGTGTGCAAGTGCTGTCAGCCAGCTTTGCACCTCTCCCAGTCCTGTCGTGTTTGTAGCTATTCCTGCCAGGAGATCTGCTGTCATGGCACTTCACAATTATCTGCCTCTCAACATCCTAAAACACCCACAACAACATAGTCTGCAAATGCTTTGAGACATGGTCATCCAGCAACTCCTCCTATTTTTGAGTACTGGAGTTGGGAAGTCACATTGAGGTTGTAGTGGACTTTGGTGAGGCCTCTTCTGGGGTACTGCGTCCAATTCTGGTTGGTCAGTTACAGGAAGGATATTATTAAACTCAGGAGGGTTCAGAAGAGATTGACTCGAATGTTGAAATGGAAGGTTTGAGTTATAAAGAAAGACTGGATAAGCTAGGACTTTTTTCACTGGAATATAGGAAGCTAAGAGGTCACCTTACAGAGGTTTATAAAATCATGAGGGGTACAAATAGGGATAATGGTAGCTGTTTTTTCCCTAGGAAGGGGGACTTCAAGACTCGGGGGCATATTTTTAAGGTAAGTGGAGAGAGATTTAAAAAAGACATGAAGGGAATTTTTTTACAGAGGGTGGAATGAACTTCCTGAGGAAAGAATGTATGAAGGTACAGTTACAAATGTTTAAAAGACACTTAGATAAATACATGAATAGGAAAGTTTTGGAGGGATATGGGCCAGGAACAGGCAGGTGGGACTAGTTTAGTTTGGGATCATGTTCAGCATGGACTGGTTGGACTGAAGCACAAGTTATTGTGCTGTGTGACTCTATGATGATGACTGTTCCCTTCATGTTACCATCTGGATGAGACCTCTGTAGCTTTTCAGCTCTGATCAAAATACTGATGGTTTCTTTTATGGATATTCCTTTTTCAGAGTTACTGTGTGCAAATTCAAGCACTTCATCACTTGTTTTGTGGTCTGAATTCTAAGCATGTATGTCAGTATCCACATTTCAGACCTCTATTTTTCTTCCATTGATCTTTACTTTTGTCCTGGTTTCTAAGGTATATGGGAAAGTGGATAAAATGTAGCATCTTATGACATTTTTCATTTTGACAAAATTGAATTTTCGTGTTGTCGACACATTCTTTACCTTCACAAAATTACTTCCAGCTGTCTCTGTGTATCACATCTCAATTTTCTGTTATCTTTCGTCCTAAGTGCACAAACTTATTGACTTGTTCCAATGCGATACCATCCACTTCAATCTTCACTCTGTAGTTCCTTCTAATATAATCCTTCTAATTGCCCTTGTTTAAATATTTTTGGTGTTCACACTTAATCCATATTCTAAGCTTTTAGAAAAAAAATAACCTACTGCAGGTACTGGAAATCTGAAAGAAAAACAAAATTGAATTGGAAAACCTCAGCAAGTCAGGCGGCATCTGTAGAGACAGTAAACGTTTCAGGTCAATGACCTTACAAAAGCTTTTCCAGTTTCTTTTTAGTATTTCTAACCCTCTTGATTTTACTTGAATTATGATATTTTACAGTGCCATTCTGATTCTACAAGTCGCACTGTGTCAATGTACCACATGTTTTTGATATATTTGCAGTCCATTTTCTACCCTGCAAAACGCATCTGAATATTTGTTCTGTGTACAGGTTGAAAAATGTTGGATGAAAGTACAATGTCTTCACCAGTTACACCAGGCAGCATATAACTCACAAGGAGCCAGTTGCTCATTCATCTGTCTTTTTCAAACAGTTGGGTCACATTTCACTACGTCAGAAAGAAAGTGGTTGTGTTTCTCTATGAAAGTGTGCGTCGGCATCCATCAAAAATGTGGCAGTGGTTGCATTCAGGTTGCATGTTGGTGGAATCACATTACTCCCTATTTAAGCCTGTCATAGCTTTTGTTGGTAGTTACAGTTGATGATGACTCTGTAGCTTGCAACAACAAAACCTGACTAACTAAAACCTCACTAAGTCTGTAGTTGCCTCATCTACTGCAGTTAAGTCATGGTTAAGCATATGTGTGGGGTGAATCCAAGCACCTAATTGTATCCTTAGTGCACATGGCACTACGACTGACTCCTTTTGATGTCCTTTACAGATATCTGATAGGACCTGTGGCATTAAAGTTGAAAACAGTGGTGACGTCTGCTGGTTCATTGCAAATCGTCGGTTGATCCGTTAAGACACAGTTGGAACACCCCGGTCAAAAGTCTTTTGCTCATCCTCATCCCCTTGGGGTTCTTTCAGATCCAATTGTACCTGCTGCAGCATGATCTGTTTCTCCACCCCAAAAGAACTTGTTCTACTATGCCTACATCTGCTAAGGCCCTGAACTTGTGGAGAACTCTCCCACTTCACTATGAGGGACTTGGCATTGGATTCAATAGCATTTCTATGAGGTTCAAAACTGGGTCTAGTCTGAAGCTCTGAGCTCAACTTTCATTTTGTTCCTTTACTATGGTGCAATTTTCATGACTAGCCCTTAATGAGATTCACAAGCATTTTCTGTAGGTTGTGTTCATTTGTACTACAGCACAAGGGAGAGCCCTTCCTGTGCAGATACAGTATCAGTTGCAGTGTCTTGGTCTATGACTCTATCACTTCAGCCAGTTGGCAGATATCTTGAATTTAAATTTTGAGATGTAAACAGAAACCTGGTATTGAGTGAATTAACCCAGAATGGTGGTGGGAGTAACTGCAGTGGCATGTATGCATAGGTGTAACTGTACCCTTTTAGTCAGCAATGTCAGTCTTTGTCACCAGATGTCTCAAAGCAGCGTACAGCTACTGAAGTACTTTTTTTGAATTGTGGTTACTGTTGTGTTGGAGGAAATGGAATTGGTTAGATCAGTAGGCTGATGGTCAACAGCATGACCATCAATTCCCAGACTCGCTGCGGTTACCATGAGGCACTCTGTTTCACAATCTCTCCCCTCACCTGAGGTACGCTGACCCTTGGGTTAAACCACCACCAGTCATCTCTAATAAGACAGCAGTCTATAGTTCAATAGGACTATGGTAATTTTACCTTTACTGTAGGAAACATGGCAGCCAATATGCACATTGCCATTTGCAGGATCTTGCCATATGTAAATGACCAGATAATCTGTTCTTCTGATG